TTTGAATATTAACAGAATATAAACTTTAGATGAGAAAGTGATACTTTAAAATTTTTTTGGTAGGAAGGTGTCATTAAGGCCAACCTTAGGCGGGAAAAAGTCGGTTTACTCTATATTTAACTTTGAATAAGGTGGACGGTGTGTGTGTTAAAATCAAGTAATTCTTCGATTCATAAATGTTTAAAAAGGAAATTCAAACCACTATAGACAAAATTTGAATTATAATATTATTTGTTTTTCTAGTTAAATCACTATAGACATATTTTGATAGTAATAGCAAGAAGAAAGAGGGGGCTTTTGGGGAGAAGAAAAAAGAAGATTGGATAGAAAATCTTCAAATTGATTGAAGAGAGATATATATGAAGAGTTCATTGTACCAGTGTCATTTTCTTGTTTGGGTAGAGGGAGACAGTCCATTCGTGCCTTCAACATTGCCACGTTTACGTTTTATTTGCCAAATATTAATTATTATAATGTTTTCATTATATACATAAATTTCATCCATTTAATCTAAATCAAAATATTTTATTATATTAATTGCTTCCTAAAATCTTTGATTAGGAAAGATAAGATATGATTCAGTTGTGAGGCTTAAATCAAGTATAATTTTAGCAAATTAAAGGACCTCTAATCAATTATTATGGCCTTTAGTTTCTTATGTTTAAATTATTAACACCACCAATAATTTTGAAGTGACAAACTAAAATACAAATTCTCAATCATTCATTTCACATCAAAATATATGATTTTATTTTTATATATTATGTAGACATTCTATGATCTTATCCTTTTATAAGTTTTAAATAGTAATATTATAACTAAATTTAGGGTCTAATTACGTAACCATAAATTATTATATTTTATATTATAGTTTCACATGTTTACCTGATACGACTATTATAAAGGGGCTTTTGATATTAGACAGGTTTTTAATATACCATATTTTCAATCAATTCTTTTATGATATTAAGCAATATCCGTCAATTTACTTAGAAAATTGAGTCTAAAATTTGCGAGTTATCTAACAATTGATCATTAATGTATAGGCGTTTACCTCCAAACAGTTGGTCCGACGATCATATTGTGATTTCTATGATCATTTGGACTTATAAGACATTCAAAAAACTCCAATGATTAGTTGAAATATTTGTAAACTGACTCAAACACTCCGATTACTAATATATATATATATAAGTGCTTAAAGAGAGAAATTGATGACACATATACAAGAATTACGCTACAACCGGGTAAAGCTTTAAATTGATGCTATTCAAATGAGTGAATATTCATAGAATAAAAATATACCAATTGTACAAATTAGTGGATATATAAGAAAAAAAAAGAGAAGAAAAATAAATAGTTTTAAACTTTCGAAATAGGACAGTACGGGGAGAAAAAAAAAAAAAAAACAAAAGATGAAGCTTAGTAAAATTGACAGATGAGAAGAAGGTATTGAATGTGACACGTGCGGAGCGTGTGGATGGAAGTTGACATGTGGAGAGAGTTACGGTGGGCGTACTGTACTGTGGTGGGATGGGAGTGAGGTTGCACACGTGTGGGGTAAGGTTAATTAGTACTAGTTAAGGATAGTGACAGTGGTAGTGGTGGGCCTAAGTGGGGTCCAAATCCACACGAGGGAAAATGGATTGGGTGGCAGGCTGGCAATGGGCCTTATTATTTTGATGGCTTTTGTTTGGGAGTAGATGGGAAGTCCTTTTCAATCCTTGCTTTCTGTGTTTTGTCAGCTTTTTGGGGAAATTTATTTCACATTTGCTCCTTGTTCCCTATCTCTTTTATGTCATGCTCATCACATTCATTCCCCATCATCCATCATCACCATCATCCATCATCATATCCATTCATTTATTAAATATTATGATTTGTTTTTCTTCAGTAATTTTTAACCAACTACTTTCTTTACATAAAAAGGTTTTCAAAAATTTATTTGCAACGACCCCAGGTCCCATCTATTATATATTGTCCGTTTTTAGTACATAATTTTAATAGTTGGACGTGTCTAATTAGTTGTTAAATACTTTCTTGTTAATTTACTTTAGGAAGCCTAAATTGTGGTATAAAGTATTAAATATAAGGTTTTCTTTGACTGAATAAATAAAAATTCAAATTGTTGTATGGGTATGACCATGATATAAATACTTGTCAGTAAGTTTATAGAGCTTTCATTATCAGAATTGAAGTCAAAATACGATACTTTTATATAAGATAAAACTCGATATTCAAAAAAGAGGTAAGGTCTAAATTTGACCTCATTCAAATAAAATAAAATTGGATAAGGTAGATATATCCTCTACGTAGGTTCATAGGACCACAAGTGACATAGGATAAGAAAAATTATCGACAAATAAATTTACTTTCACTTCAAATGTATTTGACTATTATCAACTCTTACTTTTTAGAACATGTTATAAGCTCTTTCTCGAGTTTCTTATTATAGATTTTCCTTCGAAAAATTTATAATACTTTATGATAACGTAAGTATAGATGAAATTAAACGATCATTAATAAGTACTTTTGGTTGACCAAGTGAGTCGATAGAGACTCTTTAGTTTATTACTCAAGAGGTTATGAATTCAAGTCTTTTATCTGTTACTAATAAGAGTAACCACTAAAACTTTTACTTAACCGGTAGTTATAGGGTTTGAAGGATTAGTTGAGGTGTATGTAAGTTGATCTAAACACCCTCGATCATTAAAAAAAAAAAAAAAAAGATCATTGATGAGGTTAAGATAATAACCTCGTTTGAATAATTTATTTTATTTTTTTCAATATAATACTTACATGTTGATATGGGAATAGATTCTTTGTGCTAGCTTTATGGACTATGGTATATGTTAAAAATAATTAAGAGTTGAAATAATTTATACGGTGGTATGGAGATTCTGTTATGTATGTACACGGGGTATTGAGAAATGAGAATACGTAGGTGAAAGAAAAAGAAGAAACAAGGGCACATGGGTCGAGTTGGATTTAAAAGTCTAAGGACAAGAAGTGGGGTTGGTGGGGCACACCGAATATCCTCTCCCCCAATCAAGCTCTCCACATGCTTTCTTTCTTTGACTTTCTTAACCCACCTGTCTTCTGTTGATTCCTCCCAACGTCCACACCCACCCTTCACCAATTACGTTTTGCCACGTGTTATCTCCTTTTACTTTAAGAGAAATGATGTATGTTACGACTAATACCGGTTACCTCCGCTGCCCCGACCATTAAATCATACAAGGGTAAAAATACCCAATATTGCAAGTGAACCCTAATTAGAGATTGAGAGAGAGAACAAATTTATAATAATTTTGCATTATTACTCTACAAAGTATGGTCATATTAACCCAAAAGGTTGGCATGATGGTTTAGAAGGTTTACTCTGTTTATTGATTTTATAGGTTTAAACTATATTAAGGACACCTAACATATTTGTGAATTGTCTGAAATATTGGGTTTGTAAAGTATTTAATAGGTCCCGAGAATAAGTTTAGGTGAGCACAAACTGGCCCGAGCACTCTGGTTATAAAAAAAAAGTATGATCATATGGGTTTAGAGTTCCTAATGAATACCTTATGTAAAAAATTATTATTATTATTGCTTGATTATCAAAGATTTTAGCATTCTATGAATATTCCAATTTCGAATTGGGTTTGTAAAGCGAAGTTAGGGGATTTATGAGTTATAAATACTTATTTTATATTTCTCATCTTAGAGTAATATATCATTTATTATTATTATGTGAAGTAAATATAATTTAGAATAAAAGAAGCATTCTAGCATGAATGCTATTGTAATCATACAAATTATGTGATACTCTCTTTAACCATATAGATTTTCATTTTTTTCCAATTTTGATGAACTTAGAAAGATGCAATAATACTTGATATGACACTATTTATTTTTTACAAAAACTGAATTACATGTTACCAAAAAGAAAAAATTACAAAAATGTTATCTAGATGGAGTTGAACATTTTCATGTAATTTTTGGCATTATTTTGTAATGGAACCCATCATTTCATGATTTAGGTGCTTTGATGTTCACCACACGAAGTGGAGTAAGTGGATAACTATAATACCAAACATTTATAAGTGATAAGATTATATATATATATAAAGGTTTAACTATAAATTTCATTGATAAATAAATACAATTACAAATTATTCTCCTTAAATGTAAAGCAAATTAGCTAACTATAAAATTATATTATATTATATATATTAATCCTAGAATTAATCTAATATGTTACCTATTTTTTTCATTAATAAAATTACTTCATTTTTTAAAGTACCTAATTTATTAAAAAATGCCTTTAAAAAAAGATAAGAAAAAAGAACTCACTTTAACTCAATAATAATAAATAAAAATTAAAAAAACTTCTTTCTTTTCTTCTAAGCACGCTTGGACATACTTTTTCATAAAAGCACTCATAGAACAATATCCTTGAAGAATCCAAAATATCAAATTCTCGTAAATTAAATTAAAATTTTGTCAAACTTGTCCAAGTAAGAGAGATTGTTTGCTTTGCTAGAATGGTTCACAATTTTATCCCACTTAAGAGTGAGTATATTATGAGTTCGATTCACCCGAGTTATTAATAGTAGTGACTATAGAGAGGATTTATCCAATTGTCAATTTCAAGGTCTTGAGAGATTAGTTGAGATACGTACAAGTTGGCTCGGATACCCTGATCACCAAAAAATATAAAAAAATTAAAGTTTTGAGTAAATGATCTAAAAGTTAATTAATTAATTAAAAACCAAAATATTAGTAATTATTAATTGGTGGAGCCAATGAAACAAATAAAAGGCAAACATGGCCAACTTGGTCTGTCCACTTACTTCACCACAATCATTCTAAAATATTACATCATCCATGACATCACTCGCCCGACAAACTACGGACGCTTAAAACTTAAATCACACCATCCACGTGTCCTTCACATCCACCGTCCAAAATCTTCCTTTTACCCAACAAATCAATACCATATTACCATATATTATTCCCCCGTTATATCCACGCTTGTTCCTCTTTCTTTCTTTCTTTCTTTCTTTCTCTGCTTGCGTTTCTTCCCGCTGTGACAAATTCACAAACAGACTAAACTCTCGAACGACGCCGGCGAATTAAGGAGAGATTGTTAGTGTTTAAAGTTTGGGACGCTAATTACGTTGAGTTGTTAAGTTAAGATGATTAACTTTGAAGAAACGGAGCTGCGCTTGGGGTTACCGGGAGGTGGCGGTGGTGGCGAAAGTGAGATAACCAAGAGCTGTGGAAAGAGAGGCTTTGCGGAGACGGAGGTTGACTTGAAGCTTAATTTGTCGACTAAAGAGTCGTCGTCGTCGTCTTCGGCGACGGTCGTGATTGATGTTGATGCTGTGGAGAAGATGAAGGAGAAGACTAGTGTTTCAAAGCCACCGGCAAAGTAAGTTGTTCTACTAACTAACTTATTATTATCTTACCGTTAAATCGAAATCAAGAAAAAACTTCAAAATGATCCATGAATTACTTTGATGTGGATGATGAGATAAGTTTTTAGCATCATAATGATGTTTTTCACTTGAGATTTGGAGTTTAGGAGATTTTTAATGAAGCATTTAGAAGTCAGGACGATGTTGGTGAGCTAAGTGTTTGTGTTGCGGCCATGAACAAACTAATTTTTTTTTTAATTTAATTAAATGTTAATAAAGAAAATAGATATTTTATTGATTTTAGTTATAATTTCAAGAGGCTTTGGTTTGTTGTCGGGAAGAAAGAGGAAAACAACAAAACATAAGGAATCTTTTACTTTTTCTCAACCACCAAACAAAATTTCAATGGAGGAGAAAAAGTATAGCTACTGTCTAGCCCATAGCTTTCTACCCATATCATGTTGTACACGTAAACAAAAAATGGTACGGACTTTCTCTCCACCAAAAAAGTAAAAGTAACGCAGAACACGGCACCATTTTGATGTGCTGTAATATTTGAAAACAGAAACAGAAACAGAATCATCCTTTTTTATGAAATAATTTATAATGATGATGTTGATACAGGGCACAAGTGGTTGGTTGGCCACCCGTGAGATCATTCAGAAAGAACATCATGGCCGTCCAAAAGAATAGCAGTGAGGAAAGTGATAAGGCCAGCACTGCTAATGGTAGTGTTGTTGTTGGTGCTGCAGCTTTTGTTAAAGTGAGCATGGATGGTGCCCCATATTTACGTAAGGTTGACCTTAAATTATACAAGAGTTACCAGGAACTCTCTGATGCCCTTGGCAAAATGTTTAGCTCCTTCACCATTGGTAAAAAAATTAAACTCAGGGTGGTGTTAAAAATTAATTAAACTTATGTGATTAATAATATAATTTTGACAAAATGGGTTTGGGTTAATTTTATGTATAGGTAACTGTGGATCACAAGGAATGAAGGATTTCATGAACGAGAGCAAACTGATAGATCTTTTGAGTGGTTCTGAGTATGTACCTACTTATGAAGACAAAGATGGAGACTGGATGCTTGTGGGTGATGTGCCATGGGAGTAAGTTTCTTCATCACCATAATAACAAGTTGATATTAAAATATTAACATTTCTCTTCGAGAGTTTTAACTAATTAGTTGATGATTTAACAGGATGTTTGTTGATTCATGCAAACGCTTAAGGATAATGAAAGGATCCGAGGCCATTGGACTTGGTAAATTATCTATTATTTGTATAATCTTTATAGTAATTCTTAACTTTTGTTTCTGATATGAACATTTTACTTTTATTATTATTTGCAGCTCCAAGAGCAGTTGAGAAGTTGAAGAACAGAAGCTGAAAGCAAGTTGTATTTTGTTCCAAGAAGTTGAAAATTCAAACCCAAAGGCAAACCGGCTTGGGAGGGTTCAAGCAGGGAGTTTGAATATGTTGATGATGTGTCTGTATGATGATTGTTTAGTATAGATGAAGATGAAGATGAAGATGAAGATGATGTGGAATTAATATGTTAATTTTGTGAGAGATTTGTTAAGGGACAAGAAGTAATAATAATATATAATTAGAACATGTTTATAAGTCTTTTTCCCATCTGTGACTTCGCTTTGTTTATTGTCTATGGCTTTGTTATTGTTTGGTGTAGCTGTCATGACTGTTTTTGTTCCCTTTCATTTTGTCATTAATAATGATAAGAATCTCTGCAGTATCTGTACTGTAAACTTTTAAGTTAAAAAAAATTGCGTGTTTATAAAGTATGTGAATGGTGGAGGGGGCAATATGAAGAACAAGATCTCTTAACAATGTGATAAGGTTGGAGCAAGGCATGTGCAAACTGTTTGTTGGCGGATATTTATTTTATTTATTCAAATCCATTATTGATCTGTCATGTTTGCTGTGTATGGACCCCAAAATCACTGAAGGAATAAATTCTGAAAACAGAGCTTCAGAGATCATGACAGTTAATTTTGTTGATATCTTCTACCCTTTTTTTCGGGGGAAAGGAGAAAGGAGGAAAAAAGATCAAGCCTTTTTTACCTGTCAAAAATCATGAAACTTAATGTATTAAGTGTTCAATCAAATATATACGCATCTTAATTAATCTCAGATAAAAGTTTCAATAGCCTTAAAGTTTAGGGGATTTGAACTTAGAAGCTTATAATTTTATTTTTTTTGTTCTTTTTCTATCAGAGCCACTTAGTGATAGTTTGTTATACATATATTTAATTAATATGTTTTGTGGATGTTTATATTTTTCTAAACAATAGAGATGGAATAATAAATGATTTTTATAAACTTTTTTTCTAAATCTGACATGATAACTGATAATTAGTTTAACTTGAATTCATTAGACGAAAAGTTTTATCGAAAACTAATTATTAACTACTACACCCGATTTCGTAAGAAAGTTTATAAAATTCTTTTACACCCTTTTAAAAAATACAAACTATTTTCACCATTCTCCTACCAAAATTTTGATAAATTTTTTGTCTCTTACTATTAGCGGCTAAAAGCTAATGGCACTCTCAAAAGACGCAAAATTAGTTGGACAATGTAGATGCTGTCTTTAAAAAAAAGTTTGGTTGGTGTCCACGTCAAATGAATACATCTTTATATGTGGCCTTGTTGATGATTAAAAACTCTTCAAATATCAAATCCCTCAAGCTATGGCTTTTAGATTTGCATAAATGTGAGAGTTTGGTTGTAATGATTTTCTGCAAGATTTCCAACAAAAGACCAGGGATTTGCCAAAGATTTGCTCTGTCCTTTGCAAGAATCTTTAATCCCTCCATCCTCTTCACCATTTTTTTTTATTCTCTTTGTTTTCCTTTTGCGGGAAATCAACATGAATCATACCTTCATCCCCGATCTATCGTGAAAGAACAATTTTCCCCCTTTTGTTTCGGAAACACCTAATCTCACCCCAATTTTTTAAATTCAAACGTTAAATTTAATTGAGAAGGGAAATTTCGTCAATTTGCTTCTCATATATAACATTATGCAGACACAAAACATAACCTAACTCAAAAGACTAAAATGCAAATAAATCATAAAATCTCTGAATAATCCAAAAGCATGAAGAATAAAAAAAATTCATAATCGGATGATCAAATTTATCATTTTTGAAGAACTTTAAGGATTAATTTTTTTTAATATTTGATAATGTTATTATTTTTGGCTTTTTGTTTTATATAATTTTTTTTTCATAGTTTAATTAACTTTAAAAATATTTACTCTTCCTAATAATGAAAACAAGTGTAAATTGAAATTTTGATGGTCAAAGCTACTCAAATAAAAACAGGTATGGAATGACTAACTTTGAGAGTAACATTGGACTTTTAAAAAAGATTGGGGGTCAAAATGTGATTCGGCCTATCTTGTTATTTGATCTCGAACATCAAAGACCGGGGACCTGTAAAAACTTGTCCTTTCCTTTTCCCAAGATTCTCAAAACCATTAACTTGATGAAATACACAATTATTATACTCTTTTTATAATCCCCTTTATATCAAGTAATTTCTTCTGCTTAAACTAATAAATAAATAATTTTGTTAATCTCTGAAAATGATTCCTGGCTCTTGTCTTGTGACACCTGTGATTAAATAAATAATATAACAATTTGGTGCATCAAAATCAATTCCAAGAATATGGTGGCTGTTATTATAACCCAAAAAATCATGTATTTGATCTTCAGAAACTCAAGAGTGGGGATTTTACAGACTGTTTTTGTGCCAGCTGCCATCTACTTACTACCAAATGAGGATAATTTTGGAGGATTATTTGGGACCCCAAAAAGACGAAAAGACAAAGGAGAAAGGAGAAAGGAGAAAGAAGGCTTCTCATTGGCAGCATTGAAGGATATTTACAGAGAAACCCCAAGGGATTGGTCTGGAAGTCAAGGAGGTATGCTCCCTTCCTTGAGGCCTTGGGTTCAAACCTCTGGATCACTTATCACATTGTAACTTACTTGATCCTTTAGACTTATAAGGTGTTCAATGAATCTCAATGATTAGTTAAGGTATACGCAAATTACTCTTGACGTCTTGGTTACCAAAAAAAAAAAAAAGGGATATTTACATATGAAAAAGAAGAATTTGTCTTGTAAGAGTAGAGAATTGGGTTTTGGGTTAGGTTTCCATAAAAGCATCTAGCAATACTCAAGTAAACGACTTTTTCCCACCCAAGGTTTGCCTTAATGACAATGACATTTCCCCCCAACAAAAATGTTTCAAAATATTACTTTCTCACCCAAAGTTAATATTCCGTTACTACCCAAAGTCGATTATTCAGATTTCGATGGCAAAAATTCTCTCCATCACCACTATTTGAACATCCTGTCTCCTCTCTACAAAGCCCCTCTTCGACACTTTATTTCTCGTCAATTGTTGGTTATCGCAAAGCTAGGGTTTCTTGTTCTTAACTGATTTTTAGCGACGAATATTCAATCGGTCACCACCATTCAATCCACCAGTAAATTTGGGGTAGGAAAAAGTCGTTTACTCTTAATTATAAACAAAACACTTATCAACTATTTGGTAGTGTGAAATTCACTCCCATCTAAACACTCAATGTAATCTCCACTTCTTTTGAGATAAAGCAGTATTATTAATATTCATTTAACACCCATAAGTTGAAGAAACCAAAAGCAAATAAGAAAGTCGGGCTGCCTTCTGGTCTAAATTTGGTCCATAGAAGATCCAAATAGCTGGTTATTGGGCTAGTACTCATAATTAGGGTTACACAAAGTTATGGATTGGTAACCCCTACTCAGTACTCAGAAGCCCATTTTCTTAGAAATACTGGAAGTCCGTATTATCGATTTGTTTGTTTAGTGTTTTATAAGAATTAAAAAAATAACAATAATAAGAATAGATGAATTTAAAAAGCACGATAAAGATTTTTGACTGAAATTCAATAATCTAAAATTTAAAAAATAAAAATATACTCGACAATGTTTATTTGAAAACATAAAAGAAAAGAATGAAAGACAAAAGTGACAAAATGGGTTTGGGTTAATTTTATGTATAGGTAACTGTGGATCACAAGGAATGAAGGATTTCATGAACGAGAGCAAACTGATAGATCTTTTGTGTGGTTCTGAGTATGTACCTACTTATGAAGACAAAGATGGAGACTGGATGCTTGTGGGTGATGTGCCATGGGAGTAAGTTTGTTCATCACCATAATAACAAGTTGATATTAAAATATTAACATTTCTCTTCGAGAGTTTTAACTAATTAGTTGATGATTTAACAGGATGTTTGTTGATTCATGCAAACGCTTAAGGATAATGAAAGGATCCGAGGCCATTGGACTTGGTAAATTATCTATTATTTGTATAATCTTTATAGTAATTCTCAACTTTTGTTTCTGATATGAACATTTTACTTTTATTATTATTTGCAGCTCCAAGAGCAGTTGAGAAGTTGAAGAACAGAAGCTGAAAGCAAGTTGTATTTTGTTCCAAGAAGTTGAAAATTCAAACCCAAAGGCAAACCGGCTTGGGAGGGTTCAAGCAGGGAGTTTGAATATGTTGATGATGTGTCTGTATGATGATTGTTTAGTATAGATGAAGATGAAGATGAAGATGAAGATGATGTGGAATTAATATGTTAATTTTGTGAGAGATTTGTTAAGGGACAAGAAGTAATAATAATATATAATTAGAACATGTTTATAAGTCTTTTTCCCATCTGTGACTTCGCTTTGTTTATTGTCTATGGCTTTGTCTAATAATACTTTTTTTATTATTATTATTATTGTTATCGTTTGGTGTAGCTGTCATGACTGTTTTTGTTCCCTTTCATTTTGTATTAATAATGATAAGAATCTCTGCATTATCTGTACTGTAAACTTTCAAGTTAAAAAATATTGCGTGTTTATAAAGTATGTGAATGGTGGAGGGGGCAAATATGAAGAACAAGATCTCTCAACAATGTGATAAGATTGGAGCAAGGCATGTGCAAACTGTTTGTTGGCGGATATTTATTTTATTTTATTTATTCAAATCCATTATTGATCTGTCATGTTTGCTGTGCCTGTGCATGGACCCCTAAATCACTGAAGGAATAAATTCTGAAAACAGAGCTTCAGAGATCATGACAGTTAATTTTGTTGATATGTTCTACCCTTTTTTTCGGGGGAAAGGAGAAAGGAGGATAAAAGATCAAGCCTTTTTTACCTGTCAAAAATCATGAAATTTAATGTATTGGGTGTTCCAGTAAATTTGTATACATTTTAATTAATCTCGGATAAAAGTTTCAATGACCATTCCTGTTAAAGTTTGGGGACTTGAATTTAGGAGCTTATAAATTTGTTTTTTGTTCTTTTATTATCAGAGCCACTTAGTGATAATTTATTATATGTATATTTAGTTAGTATGTTTTGTGGATGTTTATATTTTTCTAAACAATAGAGATAGAGTAATAAATGATTCTCACAAACTTTTTTTCACACATATGATGTGATAACTGATAATAAGTTTAACTTGAACAAAAAATTTTATAAAAAATCAATTATTAACTATTACGCGGAATTCGTAAGTGAAAGTTTATAAAATTATTTTATACCTTTTTAAAAAATACAAACTAT